TCAGTCCACCTTGGATCAGCTTCCAGATCAGCTGATGGGAGTTGGCATTGGCAATTTCATTGGTCTCATTGGGGTCTGATCAGACCTCCTTTGTGCCACAGTGGAGGACACTAGAGGCAAGACTCTTCTGAAGCCTGAGCATACTCATGGGTGCAGCTGCAGTGGCAAAAGGGAAGAACACAATCTCGAGAAATTAACTTATAAAAAATTACATCTGCTTAGCCAACTCCTTTCCTGACCTCCAAACCCATTTTAGAATCTAAAAGACATATCCATGTGAATGTGTCATAAAAACTACAAACACATCACCAGTTCTGTCTCTGTCATTATGTATCCAGTCACCCAGTCATCCAAGCCAGATACCTGGGAGTCAGCCTAAATACCTACTCCTCCCTATTCTATCCAAACATCTTGTCAATTCCTTCTCTTAAATATTCTTAGTGCTTCATCCTTCTGTTTTCACCAATACAGATTTAATTTGGACTGTTTCTTACTTGCCTATTTGTAACCTCTTACAACTAGCCTTCTAATTGGTCTCCTGCCTCGTCTTCCTCTTAGACCTGCAGGCTTAAGCCTGGTCTGCCAGGAGCTTCTTGCAGGCCCTGTCTGCCTTCATCTTGTGGATGTGCTCCATAAGAATCCACTTGTTTTTGAACACATTCCCCTTCACCTTCAGGTACTGGCTATGATACACGTGGCGATCAATCCTGGATTGCCATATCTTCTAAGCAGCCAGTGCAGAATCTTCATTGTCTTTATTCAGGTCACTGTGGCACTGTAGCACTGGCTGTATCTTTTCACTTACCTATGCCCATATGCCTGCCCTTCAACAGGCCAAGGTGTTTTTCTGGCATGGAGCCCAGGAATGGACAGTCACAGGCTTGCAGATGGATCAGTCCACCTTGGATCAGCTTCCAGATCAGCTGATGGGAGTTGGCATTGGCAATTTCATTGGTCTCATTGGGGTCTGATCAGACCTCCTTTGTGCCACAGTGGAGGACACTAGAGGCAAGACTCTTCTGAAGCCTGAGCATACTCATGGGTGCAGCTGCAGTGGCAAAAGGGAAGAACACAATCTCGAGAAATTAACTTATAAAAAATTACATCTGCTTAGCCAACTCCTTTCCTGACCTCCAAACCCATTTTAGAATCTAAAAGACATATCCATGTGAATGTGTCATAAAAACTACAAACACATCACCAGTTCTGTCTCTGTCATTATGTATCCAGTCACCCAGTCATCCAAGCCAGATACCTGGGAGTCAGCCTAAATACCTACTCCTCCCTATTCTATCCAAACATCTTGTCAATTCCTTCTCTTAAATATTCTTAGTGCTTCATCCTTCTGTTTTCACCAATACAGATTTAATTTGGACTGTTTCTTACTTGCCTATTTGTAACCTCTTACAACTAGCCTTCTAATTGGTCTCCTGCCTCGTCTTCCTCTCCTTGAATTGAACTGGCTTATTGAACAAGCGCAGTAAACATTTGTTGAATACCTACATTGTGAAGTGCTATGGAAGCTACACAGTCACGGAGGTAAGTAAGACATTTCTGCCACGGAGGTGGTTGAGTCAAAGGAGATAAGTGTGTACAGGGGAAGGGGCTTTAGCATCAGACAAATCTTAGTTCAAATTATCAGTTTTGCTCTTTACTGACTATACGACTTTGGTTCAGTTGCTTACTCGCTCTAAGCCTTGTTTCTTCATCTATAAAATGAGAATATCAATGTTCATTTATTGAATTAATCAGGGTTCTTGAGAGAGAGAGAGAGAACCAATAGGTTTATACAGACACACAAGGGACGCAGTGGGGGTTGAAGCTCATGCGATTATGGCAGCCAAGAGGTCCTGTAGCTGGCATTTGCAAGCTAGAGATCTTGAATTTGTGGCAGCATGGATCAGTGCAACTCCAAAGGCCTCAGGGGCAGGGAAGTCGATGATGTAACTCACAGTCTGAGGCTGACGGCTGAGAACCTGCAGGGTGTTGGGACAATCGTGTAAATCCTGGAGTCCAAGGCAGTCGAGTCTTGAGTTCTGATATCCAGTGCAAGAAAAGTCACTTACCTTGCTCTGTCTCAGAAGAGCCTGATGGGTCTTCTGTATTTCTTCTCTCCAGACCCCTTTATTCATGGATTATGCTACCCACACTAAGGGCAGGTCTCCCACATCTAGTCTACTCAGACTCCACGTTAACCCTTTCTAGAAACACCCCATAGATGCATCCAGAGTAATGCTTTTCTAGGTATTCCTTAGTCCAGTCAAGTTGAAACTCAAAACTAGCCATTGTACTTATCATAGTTGTTGTAAGAATTGGAACAACATGCAAATGTCTGGCATATAATAGGTACACAAAAGACAGCTGCTAGTATTACTGGTTTATAAACTTTATTTTGCATTTTTAAAAAACAGTTTATTGGGGCCAGCAGGTGGCATGGAGGTTAAGGGTGCTGGATTCCCACATGGTGGGCTACAGTTTAAGTTCCATACATGGCAGCTTGCTCTCTCTCTTTCTCCCTCTCTAGTCAAATGAAAATAAAGTCAAATAGAATGATTCTTTTTTTAAAAAAAAAAGGTACTTTTTTTTAAAAAAAGTTTATTTCTTGCATGAGCAAGAGAGACAGAGGGAGACAAAGGAAGAGAAGGAGAAAGAAAGAGGCACCCCCCCAACAAGGACTCCCATATAGGCAACTGTGGTTTGAGTACTGGACCTGGGGTTTGAAAATCACACTGGGAGACCAGCAGTTGGCGTAATGGCTATGTTGCTAGACTCCCATGTAGTTGACTGTGGCTTAAAACTTATGCTGGGTACGTGTGCATGAGTGCCCAAAATCCCGAGAGGAGAATGGAAGAGAAAGGATTGCAGTGTGGCCATTTCCCCTGACACTGATTTCTCACTTTCTCTCTGTCTCTGGCGAGCACACGCACCCTACATCAAAAATCTCTTTTTTTATTTTAAAGAGATTTTTGCTATAGGGTGTGTGTGCTTGCTAGAGAGACAGAAAATGAGAAATCATCCCCTAGGGGGATGGCCACGCTGCAGTCCTGTCTCCTCCATTCTCCTCTCGGGATTTTAGGTCTGCCTGCATATGAACCCAGTGTGAGTTTCAAGCCACTGGGTCTGGGACTCAAACCTCAGTCAAAGACATGGGAGTCCAGCGACATAACCATTAAACCATATGCTGAACTCAGTAAAAATTTCTCTTAAAAAAAAAAAAAAGAATGCACCTGGTGTGTTCAGGGGTCTCTGGACATAAATCTGAGACTTTTTCATATGGGTGTCAGCCTTGAGGAGCACTGAGCTCATGATTAGCTATATGCTTTTTATAACGTTAGCATTTCCTCAATGGAGATTAAAATTAGTTTTATCTAATCTAGTAATTTTATTGCCAGAGTGCAGGTGTGCTCTCCAGAGGTGAGACACACACGTGCATACACAGAGAGGGAGAGGGAGAAAGCAACCGCCCAGTGGAGTGTGGTCACACTGCAATCTCATTTCACCATACTGTTGGGATTTGGGGCATGCATGCACACGCATGGGGCTGGGATTTGAACCTCAGTCAGCAATATGGGACTTGACTCTCTTAACCACTAGGTTATGCACCAGTACCAAATCTAGTAATTTTATCTTGCAAAATCTTTCTATTGTAGCAGGTACAATATGTTTTCATTAATGTGAAAAATGTATTTCCATAACTTAAAAAGGCAATTTTATACAGTAAGTAATAAGAACTATGAGCCAAACAGACATTTATTTCTTTTAATACTTATTATTTATTTATTCACTTTTTAAAGAATTATTTATTTATTTAATTCCATTTTGTTGTTGTTATTATTATTATTTAATTTGACCAGAGAGAGACAGACAGAGAGAGAAAGGGAAAGCGAGAAAGCAAGCTGCCAGGTCCAGGACTTGAACCATGGTCGACCATGTGGGAATCCAGCATTCTTAACTACCACGCCACTTGCTGGCCCTTCATTCCTTATTCTAATTTGACCAGAGAGAAAGTGAGACAGCAAGCAACCAGGTCCAGGACTAGAACTGTGGTCAGTCACGTGGGAGTGTCCAGCACCTTTACCACTACATCACCTGCTGGTCCCCAGATAGACATTTAAATTACCTTTTTTTTAAGAGTTATTTTATTTAGCTTTATTTATGTTTATTTTAATTTGACCAGAGAGGGACTGAGTGAGAGAGAGACGGAAAGCACGAAGGCAAGCCGCCAGGTCTGAGACTCGAACCATGGTCAGTCACGTGAGTAGTCCAGTGCCCTTCACCACCACGCAACCTGCCAACCCCCAATTTAAATCATTTTAATCATCTCTGAGCTATGTAATTAGGCCAAGTCACCTAGTTTATTCAAATCGCTTAAAATTTCTCTTTGTTTTTTGTTTTGTTTTGTTTTTGCCATAGGGTGCATCCACTCCCAGGAAAGAGACAGAGAAAGAGAAAGTGAGAAATCACCGCTCAGGGTGTCTAGCCTGCAATCCCTTCTCCTCAGGATTTTGGGCATGAATGTACAGGCACCCTGTGTGATTTTCAAACCATCACAACCAGTATTTGAACCATGGGCAATCAAATGAGAGTCTAATGCCTTAAGCACCACACCACCTGCTGGCCCCACAAATCACCTAACCCTTTAAAAAATTAATTTTATTTATTTATTTATTTATTTATTTATTTAGCTACAGGGCACACATGGTCACAGAGAGAATAAGCCACTGGGTCCAGGACCCTAACTTCGGTTGCTTGATTCTTTAAAACCTCAGCTTCTTCACCTTAAACTGGATTAGCGTGCACTGATTAATAGTGTCTAATATATAGGAAGCAGTTCGTTAGTGTTGTCTGAAAGGCTGTTTACCAAAATGGTTATCTTCAGATGGTGGCACTGCAGCAAATATTTATTTTTTATGTTTCTCTGTTCTGCTTGAATAATTTATTTGTACTCCAAGCACATGTAATTTTTATACAAACTCTCATAAAGCTTTGTTAAAATTTACCTTCTGAATTCAAGAGTTCTGGTTTCGTCTTTCCAATGCCACATCCCTAATCGTAACCCCCATTGCTGTAAAATTAGAGAACAGCAGGGAAAAAAAAGTTCAATTTACAGTCCATATGTCATAATAGGCTTTTAACAATAATTCCTACCATATTGTTGCTGCTTAATTCTATTCAATAAAGATGTACATCTTATATAGTTTCACTAAAAACAAGTAAGGGAGGAAGGAAAGAGGAAAGAAGGGGCAGAGGGGGAAGGAAGGAAGGAAGACTTGCATAGCGCGGGGTTCACCCCAGCACTGGCCCAGAGACCGAAGTGAGACGTAACCTGCCACCTGCCGCAGGGAAGCCTCTGCGGGGAAGCCTCGCGGTCTTCGCTGAGTCGACACCCATCATCGCAGGGCCTGCCCTCTGCCCCCTTCGGAGCAGTCTGCAGAGTCCGTTTACTCTTTTCACGGTGAGACACAGCAACGCGGCAGCTTTTCTCGTCTCTAGGGATCCTCCCCGGAGCAGCACTGACTTCCCCACACTAGCGCTATTTATTTTGCAACCAACCAATTCGAGGTGGTGAGGCGGGATTTCTTAAAGTCCTACGTATCCGAGTAGGGAGCAGACCCCACTCCGCCTGTCCGCCCCAAACGCCTCTGCGCTGTTTCTGTAGGCGAACACGCCGGATCGGCTGGAG